TATAGCCAAGTTTACGATGTTCTTAATTAACAGTAGTAATGCAAACGTTCTCATAAGAGATATAAAATCTAACCGCGCAATAAGAAAATCGATAATTGTAAAAGTTGTAAATTGGTTTTTTCATTCATCATTTTACAAATTTAACTCGAAATTTTTTTTATCAGATGTTCGTTCCATAGGCGTACAGAAATACATTTAAATACCAAAAACCGTATTTAGCCACAATAAATTATTAGTAAATTTACATTATTTAACTATTTACTTTAAAAACGTTTGATTAACTGTAATAAGTATTAAATAAACTGAGGTAGTAATCGGATAAAGCCTTTTCAATGAGTTTTTCAAATATTGTTGAAAATAGATAGGTATATCTTTGTTCTTTCATAAAAGTAGCAATTTGTCGACTTCATTTTTCTTTACGAACAGTTATTTTGATTAAACTTAATTAAAATACCACAAATAAATAAAAAAAAATTACGTTAATAGGTATTTTCAACACAATAAAAAATAGTATCAAGTGTTAGAGCTGGATTTATAAACTTCGTTCAGTTGGCGTTCAGTTCGAGTTGGTGAGTAACCTATCATGTCATTTTAGAATCGCGTTGACGCATACGCGTTTAATGTTTGATATTTGTATTTATAATTAGTTTAAGGATGATAATATGATCGAATAATATAGGAATATGCAATTGACATTGAAAATTCATGCAATATTTTTGTGCTGTCTGGGTAAGGATTGTTAGAGGAAAAATAAAAATAACATTCTATTTTTTTACAATATTTTATTTTAATACTGACATTATTAATTACAACGTTTTAACATTGTTGACCTACTATTTGATTATATCTAAGTTATGACAAATCGTTTTCAAATTTAAGTAAACTGCTGGCCACTCGAACTTACACATAGAGATTTTTAGGCAAAATTTAAAGTTCAATATTTTCAATAGGAATGCAAATTTTTGAACACGGCTTGCAGATTTTAAGAGCTAGTTTTTTTCGGATTAAGCTTCATGAT